TAATATATTTTTTATTAAAATCGTCAACTATTGCTGCAATAACATCAGAATCAAATGCTGATTTTTTGTTTGATTTTATTACTGAAGATGAAGAGAAAGAATGGTGCTTGATTGTTTCATCAATAGTATTCTTTCGATAAAAATCTAATATATAAAATATATTCAATTTTTGTTTATCTGTAAAGTGAAAATGTAAAAAAAATATATATAAAAAGAACACTGAGTTTTTACCATCTGTAATATCAGTTCCAATTACATTCCCCAATATTTTTACTCCTCCCGGATGACCACTAATCCAGCTTCTTATATATATCGATCATAAATTACTAAATGTGTCTGAAATAACAAGTAATAATACAAGCAATATTAAAAATAATAATATCGACCAACGCTTTAAATTCTATTAATTAATTGGTTACACCCAACCCACTTAATTAAAAAACTTACACCTTTTTGAACTTTATCATTAAATTCATCCAATGTAAATTTTCATACTTTTCATCGTCAAGATTATCAATTATAACCTTTTTTTACTTTGATTACCATCATTTCCATATTCACTTTTATTTTCATAGCGAATTTTCAGGATCACCAACCCCACTCTGAATTGTAACCTCTTACACTTGAAATGAGTTCCAGATTCTCACAATATTCCTCCAGAGTTGTAACATCTTGGTCACAGAGCCATCCTCATCCTAGGGGTAGGATCGTTGCAGGCAACTTTTTGATCAGCATGCCGGCAGCCTTCTCTGGTGTGGGTGCTGTGAGGGAAGATTAGTGGAAGTGACGGCAACCTTTTCAACCCCATAAATGTTTTTAAATGCTATGATGATTTTTAATAGTAGAAAACTTTTACCGGTTCCTGCAGAACCGGTGAAAAATATATTCACGCGTTGATTTACCGCTAGATCATAAACTATCTGTTTGCTCATCTGATGGTTTCACATTTATTGGTTTTATTTTAAAAAAATCAACGATTTTTTCCTGACTGTTCACATTGTAAGAAAAAGAAAGTGAATAATGATAGGTATTATTGTTGGTAACTGGAATGACGACGAATGGCGATAACTACCACCGCCATCCTTATGATAAACACTTACTCTTTTGCCTCTCCTTTATTTTTTTCTGCTCTTCTTTTTTTGCTGTTTCGTTGAAACATCAAAGAATAATTATTGATTTGATCGACATGTACACATTAATTATTTATCCTTATTGGTTTTTTTTTGTTGACACAATTTTTTTTCTTGGGAGGACAGACGCGAATCGAATTGTTTTTTTTCCTTGGGAAACAATCTATGTTTCAGTGATGAAACGCAAGTGATGTTGTTTGGTATGGTATGGATTGGCTCTGAAGCAGATGTATTTTTTTTATTTGTATTGATATGTATGTGGTGTCTTTTATTTTATATACTGTAAATATTTTGCTGGGTAATTATAAGATCCTTATCAACAACGAACGATTGGTACTTTTGCTTTTCGTAATCAGTAATATTAATATTAATATAAATATATAATTACATTAAGACGTCAAGGCAGCACACCGTTGAATATAAAACATTTCGATATGCGATGTTTGATTATCAGAAATTTACAGATGTTGAAGCATGCACGCTATCTTGAACACTTTACAGTCATTCTCACACGTTCCTCGTATACACAAGGCTAATCTGACTGGCGACCCCTCGATGATATAACGATGCTGTTAAATTCTAGGGGAGGGGCGCAATGCACAGGAATGCATCAAGACTGCATCAATCATCAAGATCATTGCTACAACAGGCATAGCAGAAGTCAACATCACCAGCACAACTTTACACTCTTTTGCAGGCATAGGACTAGATACCGAATCAACAAAAGAGCTTATTGAAAAAATCAAAAAAATCAAAAACCCATTATTTACAATGGCAATCTATTAAAGCATTGGTTATTGATGAAGGTATAATTGATTTTTTTTAGAAAGTAGTAATCATCATTATTTGATTATTTATTAATTTTTAATTACTTTATAATTTATATATAGTCACAATGCTTGATGGGGACTTGTTTGATAAACTGGAAGCAATTACAAAAGCTATTTGTGATAATGATAAACCATTTGATGGAATATTAGTAAGTTATAATGATAGCATATGTTATGATATTTAATGATTTTTGGAGGTGTTTTTTTCAATGCTTACACAAATATATATTTGTATATTTTATTTATTAGTTAATAGTCATGGGTGATTTTTTCAACTACCACCAGTTTCTAAAGATCATAATCTTAAATTTTGTTTTGAATCAAACTCATGGACTAAATGTATAAAACACATGATACAATTATCAACAGTTTTTAGACAAAAGGAGTCTGGTAAAAGAATATATAATTATTATTATTAATAATTCATCTTTTTGATAAATTGATCTAATTGTTAATTCTAATTCTATAGATTTTATTGGTATGTTAAATGAGATTAGATTGGTCATTGTGACCAAAAAAATTGGAAATCATGAATAAATTAAAGCTTCCACCACAATATCCTAATGATGGAATTCAGGTTACAGAATTGTAAGTTGATCAATATTCATGATATATATAATATACTTCTATAATAATATTTGTTTGTTTGTTTGTTTTTTAAATTACAAGATACTCAAGGATTGATAAAGTTACTTGCATTTTTAAGTAAAATTCAAAATAAATCATATATATATCATGCTAAAGACTATGAACCAAAAGAAAATGGTAAATTAAGACACTTATTAAAGATTGCTTGGCATAAGATAAATTGGAATTAAAATGTGATGCACAAGTAATGCTTATTAAAAACATCAATAAAGATTTAGTTAATGGGAGTAGAAGTATTATTGTTGATTTTTATTCAAATTCTACTAAAAAAGTTATTATGATGGTGAAGATGAGATTGTGGAGTTTGGCCAGAAAGATGAAATGTTGCCAATAGTTAGATTTGTTGAAAATAAAAAATTGTTTGTTTGTGAAGCTGAGTGGAAACTAGAAACTGTTGATAATGTTGTATCAGCAAATAGACAACAAGTAGGTATTTTTGTACTTATATGTATGTGTATAGTTTTTTTTATAATATATATATGTATGTATTTATTATATATTTAATGTAATATTAGATTCCTCTTATACTTGCTTGGGCAATTAGCATTCATTAAAAGCCAGGGCCAAATACTGGAAAGAGTCAAAATTGATTTGAAAGAGGTTTTTGAAAAAGGTATTTATATACATATTCATAACAATGATAATATAACTATTATAATAAATTAATAAATTATTATGTTTTTTTTTGTAAATATGGCAAGCATATGTTGCTTTGTCTCAAGCTAAATCTTTACAGGTTTTAAACTTCACAAGAGAAAAGATAATGGCTGATGAAAAAATAAAGAGATTTTATGAGTCATTAACAGATCAATGAATTGGATTTTAAATGCTTATTTATTTAAAACTTCATATTATTATTTTTATTGATATTGAATTTTTTTTTGAGTAATTAACTATTTTTTTAATGTATACATTGGATAATTAATATAATTGTATTTATTCTTTGCACAAGAACAAAAGATTATGATTTTACATACATAATCTGCATACCCTATATTATTAATATTGTGAGGTTGAAATCTGCTTCTAATGGTGAATCTTGGTATTTTATTTTAATTATTATTTTACTTAAATTTATACAAATGTGATTGAATGCTACTTGATATTTTAATCTCAATTGCATTTGCTTTTCTTGTTGATTTTTTTAATAGCTCTTTGTCTATTAATCCTTGAGAAGGAATTTTATTCCTCCTTCTGGTAATGTTTTCTTTATTATCTGCCTGAGCCAGCATATCTATAATATATTTGTACTATCTGCCTTGGTATGTTGGGCTTTGCTTAGCCTCAGTTCATTAGGCTTTATTCCTTTGTATATTTGGCATAGTTTTGACTGGCCCCTGCCTAGCTAGGATTTCATTATCCTTGTTGTTGTGTCCATTGTTTAATATATTTACTAACCTTCCAAGTTTGGAAATTCATGCTAGAATCCAATTTTATATTAGCTAGCTCTTCATTCTCCTTAGTAACATCATTCACCATCTTCAGGAATGTTCTCTAAAATATGGTGGTTTTGGTATGGATTTGCTTTCACTTTCAGAATCACTTGATAGGTCAAATTAACATTAGAATGTTGTAAATGCATTATTACACATACAAAGAAACAACATTCTTTTCAGATGGGGAAATAGTAAATTTTATGACTGTACACCAATATAGGAATGGGCCTTCCATCATTTACCTTGATGGTGGTAATAAAGAGATGAAAATATGGGAAAGGAAATTCTTTTTTTAGCCTTGTCACACAGCTTTTACCTCAAGCTCTTGGTTGATGGATTTATAAATTTCAGTGTCAAAAGATTCTCCTCTTCAATAATCTGTCATTTTTTTAAATTAACTTTTTTATTTAAAAACTTCAATTGTTTTTTGACAAAATAAATCTTTCAAAAAAAATCAATTTTTCAAATAATCTCATCTAAAATTTTGACACATGATAATACACATCATTGTTTTGATGTCAGTCAAAAAAAAATTGCTAGGGGATTGACAAACCTAGGCTATGAAATGTTTTTTTTTGTCCATGTGTGTATATGTGATAAAATAATAAATGATTGATAGAGTTATAAATATTTATTAATCTTATTTAATTTTATTTGAAGAAAAAACATTATACAATCTTTTGATGATGATGATGGCATTTAAATATTAATGGTATTGTCAGCCAACTAATGAATTTAATGGTTTAGCCAGTCAAAGAACTTTTAAACAGCTTAGCCAGCTGATAAATATATTATTTCTTTATTTTTTATCAACCAATTCATTTCATTACCATTCATTTGCTCCAATGCCCATGGTAAATTAATAATAAAGAAAATAATGGTAATAGTGAACCATTAGATAATGATCCGTTGAATAAAACAACAACAACAATATTTATCGGCTGACATTACTAAATTTAATTTCCTGAAATTTCTTTTGTTTTAGCCTTCAATACATCATCAATCTCTTTAACAGATTTATCTACAAATAACTGAAGCTAATAATATAAATTTTTTTTTTACAAATTAATAAATATCCAAAAAAAATTTATCCAAAAATAAAATATATATTAAAAAATACCGATTTTTCCAATAATTTAATTTGATCACTTGAAATATTTTTTTTAGAATCCTTCTTTAAATCTTTCATTCCATCTTGTCTAATAAGTCGAAGTTTTATTTTGGAATTCTCGGCAATTTTTGATGCAACTTTTGTTATGTCTTCACGATATTCTGTTGTTATTCTTGTTAAAAATAAAGTAAAATTAATTATTATTTTTTCTTATTTAATAATACAATATTCTTCTTACTTTGGTATGGGGACTTTGATAGAATTGTTTGTTTCAATTATTGGATTTAAATTAAGATTTGCATTTCTTATAGCTTTATCAACTTCATTTAAGATCTGATGATGTGTGTAATCATTTGAATTGATTAAATTATTGAAAATTAATAAAAAAAAACAATAATTGATAATTAAAATATATTCCATTCTTTGAATCATCAATATTCATGTTATGTTTATATTAATATTATATATTTCATACTTCTTCATTATGAACATTCACTAATAATGTTTTAGGATCTTTTATTATAATTTGTGCAACATCCTTTAAAACTGTGTTTCTGCCTTCATAAGGAATAGTTATAGAATCAAGAATTGCTATGTTTTTTAAAAATAACAGTAATCAGAGAAAAGAAGAAAGTGAAAAAAAAAAATCTCAATCAATCACTACCCATTAACTAATCATAATCATAATGAATGTTAAATTTAACATACCAGGATTTGCGGTTCCGATTCTTAACCTACTAAATTCAACTTTTAATCTTTCAATCAAAGATTTAGTTTTTTTTTGAATTGTTTCCATATCAAAACTAATAATCATTTTTTCATCATCTATTCCTCCTCCTTTTTCATCATCCATGTCATCATCATCAACATCATGCTTTTTTACTTTTGAAGCTTTCTTACCACCACCGCCATCTTTTTTTTGGGTTGTTTTCTTTTTTGAAGCAAATGTTCTTTTTTGATCGCAATAATAACCACTACAACTTTTATCACTATTATTTTTCTTCAATGGAATTATTGATGATGTCGTTGCTGTTGTTGCTATTGCTGTTGCTGTTTTTGATGTTGATGTTGATGTTGATGTTGATGTTATAAAATTACAATAATGATGATAATGATGATGATGATGATGATGATGATGATGATGATGATTTGATTTTAAATTTAATGAAACATTATTAGCATATTTTATTTTTGATTTATTAATAATAATGAAACGATAATTGTTAATAGCATTTAATAAAAATTTTTTTATATTTGACATCTTTTTTCTTTGGGGTGAAAAAAAATTTAGAGATGATCATCTTTTTGTCCTTATATAAAATAGTGCTTTCACAATTCAACCATTTGAATATGTTGCAAACGAAACTGCCAAAAAATATTTTAACTAAAGTTTATATCTGTCTTCCCATCTGGAACGAACTTGAAGTTGTAACAACGGGTAATAAATATTATTATTATGTCCCACCTTTTTTTTTGATGATTTTAAAAATTTTTAACATTTATTTTTATTTTAATATAAAAAAAAAATTTGTTCTTTAACATTAACTGTTTAGTTGAAGGAAAAAATATTTTTCTTAAATATAATCACAAAAAAAGGTAACAAATTATAAATCCTAATAATAAAAGTCCAATCCAATTTCTACTCTGATTTTGTTTTTGATTTTTTAAATTTAATTCTTTATCTTTTAAATTTAAACTTTTATTTTCAAGTTCTGATTTAGCATCTTGTAACATTTTCTTCCATTCGATTGTAATCAATTCAGAAATACGTTCAGATACCTTTGGGTATTTTTCCACCTTATGAGTCATTATTGATACTGAAACCTTACTATCATACGATATTACTCCAATAGCTAAACCTCCCGGTGAAGCTTGTGGTGGCATTCCAATAAATCTTTTAACTTGCTGTCCGGCAAATGTAATTGGTTTAATTGGACCCTTGACGAATATAATATTAATAGTCTAGTAAATATAATATCAAATAATTAATGTTAATAATTAATTAATATGAATACTTACAGGTACGTTTGTTACAACAGCGTGGTAACACTTGGTAAGATTGTGTAATAATGTTCTATTAAGTAATCCTGCCGGTATAACATATTCAAAAGCTAAGTACATTAATATTGGATACCAATTTCGTTTTATTCTGCTTGTTTCTAAATTCACTTTTTCCATAAGAGATTTAGTTGAGAGATTATCACTTAAAGGTGAAAATGCAATATTTCCTGTAATATTAGAAAGCAATTAATTTTTTTATTATATAAAAATATAAAGGTATAATTATAATTTTTTACCACTTGCGACGTTATTGCATTCAAAATCTGTTGAAGTACGCATTGAAATTGGCATAAAATATACGAATTCAGATTCAAGTGGTTCTTGCTGCTTTAATTCTATTAAATAACTTCTAACCGCGCGTGTAACTATTGCAACCTATTATTGATAAAATCTATCAATTATTATTTATATTTTAGCGTGTATAATAATTGTTAAGATGAAAAAGTTGCCATTACCATAACATCATTAAATGAAACCCCATAGGCTTTACGAGCAATAGAAATTTCACTGAAGGGAATTTCATTTGACCACCATAGAGTTGTTGGATGGTTTTCATCACATTCTAAATTAAAGTTTTTTTTCTTGCTATAACTGTTTAACATTCTTATTTGCGCATAGGTCATTTCATAAATCCCAATTACAAATGACCAAATAAATAAAATAACTTTTAAAAGAATCAAATAACTGCTAAATAAAAAATCTGGTAATTTATTTGCAATTAAATTAATCTTTGTGAATCCAGGAATTATTGTTGACACTTGTTCTTGCACATTTTTTTCAGATTTTTTAATACGCTCTTTAAAATATTGTATTGTTTCCTCCAATTGTTTTTGTCCATCCGATGTCAATGTCATGATTGCGTGCATCGCACCTTGCCCATCAGCGATAAGATGATGTGATATCAATATTAAAGCTGATCGTTGTTTTTTCGTCGTTTTGTCATTTTCGTTTTCTTCTCCTTTATTTTCAAAATTTAATCCATTAATAATATAAGCTCTCCAAAGTGGTCTACTATTATCTAGTCTTACTGAAACACATTTCGTCGCGCATTCGTAAAATTCGGTTGGTGTTCCAGTTGGTAATGTATGTACTTCAATATTTTCTGATACATCGAAGTTTGGAACGTATTTCCATCGAAGATAAATGGAATTTTCATTTTCCAATATACAAGAATACCTAGGAAATTTTTTAATCAAATTTTGAAATTCGTGTTTTACTAATCCTTCATTCAACTTATCGTCGAACGTCCATACCAATGAAATATTAAATGGAGTGATATTGTTTTCAAGAATATAACAAAGATTATCAATACCACCTAATTTTTTTCCGTTGATTTCTTCCATTTTTTTTTTTTTTTTTTTTTTTTTGAAAAAAAATTTAATTTTAGGATGATTAGGTAATATTAATGTTCTTCATTCGTATTGTACACAAAATGAATGTTTACTCCCATTTATATTCGTGTTTATTATACAAATATGTTTTTGTATTTCTATATTTGAATAAACAAATTTATATTTTCCTTATATTGTATAATTGGCAATTGTCAATAAGACATATATATATATAGTAATTATTATATTTAATTTTATGAATGGTTTTTTTTGCAATGTCTTTTAAGTATCCTTTTTGATCAACCATAAATGCTTCTGAATAAATCAATTATGACATCCTTCCACGACTAGAAGCTTGTCCTGGAGCAAAGATTTGATAGTCTAGATAGATTGATATTCTAGGGAGTGTTAAGCCAAAGGCATTTTGCGTATGGAATCGAGTTCTGCTTGCGTGAACTCTATTAAGCATAAAATTCATTTTTCGTTTGTTTAAAAATAATTGCATCAACAAGGATACTCGAACTTGGTTGTTTTCTACATCAACATCTGGGTGATTATTGTATTACAAATATCTTATTCTATTTGTGAAAATACATGTTTATTTTTGATTAATAATAATGACATAAACGTGGTCACTTCAACGAGAAAAATATTAATAATAAACTATAATCTTATCGGTTTCAATGATCGACACACTAAATAAATTGGGTAAAAAAGATCTGGTAAAGTTTTTTTGGATAATAAAGTTTTATTCGTAATACAAATTCTTAATTACACGAATTGTCTCGTGCGATCCACATGTTAAATTTTTAAAAAGGATATTTTTAAAAATAATCTGCATTGTAAAAGAAATGGAGTCTGTTCCAAATTTAGACAACCACGTGAGCATACTATCTTTGTTCGAATTTCTTTGTATTCGAAAGGCTCGTTATTTTTTTGATTTTCAATTATCGGCTAAGCCTCGCGATTACTAAATTTTGCTACGTAATTGAACTGAATTGAATTGATGATAGGATAAAAAAACGTATCAACAATTCACTCTCGATTCCAGCTTATATGAACCGTCGTTCTTTTCTGTTAGTATTTGTTTAACAATCTTTGTTTTTATGATAAAATTTATTTAAAAAATCTTCCCAAACTAATTGGTATAAACGATTTGAAAACTTACAAAATTCTCGATCTTTTTTTTTTTAAAAAAGCAATATTTCTATCCGTGATAAAATTTTCTTAATTCCCTTCGTCATCGTCAACGATCATCTATTTAAGAAATTATCTTGAAGTCGAAATCAAAAAAAAACGTCAACGCACTAAAAGAAAGTATAACGAAAAGATTAAACGAAAATGAGTTTATCAAAAATATCGAAAATACAGTTGGTGATGATCTGGGTAACGTTGAATCAGCAATAAATGATGCAGCAACAATGGAAATTTTATTAGGACATGCAAAAAAAAACTTTTTGGGTTGTAATTTTGTTTTTATTAAATAAATTTGTTTTATTTTTTTCATGCATCGTTTATGTTTTGTCTTAATCGTATATCTTAAATGTTGACATTCGATATATTAAGGTTATTTTGGTTACATCGAGAGATATGGTCAAGAGAAGAGTTAGGAAGAGAGTTATTCTTCAACCAAGTCGAAAACCAACTCTTTAAATCCATTTTCGAGTAGTAGAATTTAATTTGTTAGACTATTCCAAAGGTTTGTCCGCATGGTTACTTCTAATTTCTTAAATTCAAACCATTTGTTAACGAAACAACTGTTGGTGAAGTGATTGTTGACAAAATGAATCAAGCCAACATTAATTTATTATTATTTTTACGTTATCAAATTCACGATTTTGATTGGCCAATCAACAATTGCATGGGTTAAAATTTTGTTACCTGTTCTTATTCCTTCGCTCAAACAAATAATTGTCAATGATTGGTAAACTTTCTGGTCTTGGGGTAATTCTTGTTAAGTTAAAATAATTACATGATTTATTAGAATACATGTTCTTTTAAAAATCGCATGTTTAATTTTTTATAATTTAAATATTGTATGATTTAATTTTTTATCGTATGATTTAATTTTGATCTATTGTCACGTGAAAACGCGATTAGTTCTTATATTCCAAGATCCCTACCAAAAATTCGTTGTCGTTGTAACACAATTTATATATAACATTCGTTTGAAACAAAAATTCGTTGAAACAAGAATTGACTGTACTAATAAATCCGGTTGCCCGAAATAGACCGGTTTCATTATATCTGGTTTATCGATTATGAAAAATAGGAGCCGGTTTTAAGTCTATTATATCCAACTGGTTCCAACCTGTATAATAAAGAACATTTTTGATTAACTAAACAATAAAGAACCTTTTTGATTAATTAAGAGAGACCTTACGAACAATGCTGGTTACCAAGAGTTGCATGCATAATTTAATATTCCGCAAAAAAATTAAACTTATTAATTTCTGAATTTGGTTTAATATGCAGGTGCCCCGTTGACGTCAAAAATTTTATTATTATTATAGTGTTTAATACGTAAATCATGAAAGATAGTTTTATATATAAATACTTCTTTTTTACTTCTTTCTTTTACTTCTTTCTTTACTATTGTTAATTAATAACTTGCGTTGATTTTATTTTACAACAAAAGGTCTGTCTTTTACTTTTCTTTCGAATTATATTTTAAACTTAATTTTAATTGTTATGTTTCTTTTAGTTTCAATTTATAGTTATGGCACTCAAATATCTTGTACTTTTCGTTTTTTTCCAAATATTTATTTCTGTCGTTTCTTCCGCTTGCAATTATAATACCCCATGTCGTTGTTATGTTTGAACTCCGCAAGGACAGTACTGTGGTAGTTGGGGTGGTAAGTAATGGCATCTAGTTTATTTGTGCATAATAATAATATGATTTATTTCTTTCCATTTTGAATTTTTTTGGTTCCTTTTTCAGCTTGTCCCACCTCTCACGTATATGAATGTAGTCCCTCCGGTAAAGCTTGCGACTATGGTTACCGTGTATCCTGTGCGCAATGTGGGAAGTTGAAGTGTCCATAAAAAATTGATCTAATATACTTGTAAAGTAAAGTTGGAGAATTGTTTTGTTGATAAGTAGATAGTTAATATTTTAACAATTTATTTAATTATTCTTTATGTTTTTATTAAATTTATTTTATTATTAAAATAAAATAACTAAATTCATCAGAATCACACGTTTTTATTCCCATTTTTGTCTCATTTAATATTGTTTGTTTGTCAAAAGTATAAAAACTTTAACGTAAAACAAAAACCCTTGACGTACAAAAATCATGACCAAGTAAAAAAATTTGAATTAAAGTTTTTGTAAAAAATATAATTGTTTGTATTTTTAGACGTTATCGATTTCTACATTGACTCCACTTTCTAAATAACCAATATCATTATTAATATTATCTGCATCTATTATATCATTATTAACATTGTTTTTAAAGCACACACAAAATGAAGGGACCAATTAGAGACTTGGGTATTAAAAATTTTCCACTATCGCTTGGATGAAAATGGAAGTGGGACCTTGTCTTACTTGGAAAAGAGGCTCAGATTAAAATCCGACAATGGTTTATTTTCCAACTTTCTCAACCGAATATGTTTTTTTTCAAAATTGGTTCTTAAAAGTTTCATTTCTGCATGGTCTTATTCTTGAGCGATGCAATTATTATTATTACATAATCGTTGTGATAGTTCTATATGGGGTTGTAAAACTTGGATGATCTGCATCATAGTAAAATTCGATCGAATGTCTTCACACCCTCGTTTGATACCCTTGCTGTGTAGCAACTACCACCAAATTTGAGATGTAATTTCTTTA